AACAATTCTCCCACAGCCCCCTTTAAGCTAAGATCTAATAAGTGTAAGCAACCCAAGTGATAAATCTCCTCAAGATTGAGCTTCGGAAATATTTAACACGCTAGGGTTTTCATAATGGTGGATGTTTTCAGGTTAGGAATTTCAAACGATCCCGTTTTAGGCCCATACAACAGGCATTACTAGATTTTCCACTGCACGGGGAGGGGCGAATGGCTCGTAGGCTTGATTGGGTTCGGTTATTCTCTACTCACCTTTCATAGAGATAGTTCATTCGCGACCGATTCCGGCAGCTTGAGCAACATCATGGCGCGATCAACGATATGCTTATATCGTTAGGGCTTAGGTATCCTTCAAGTTGTTCACCTCTGACATTTTGCATAAATCAGATCATCTATATCAATTTAGTTTCTATATTAGCAAAGGCGAGAGGCAAGTTGTTTTATGATGATGAACCGAAAAACGCGGCACTGCCAGTAACCCTTGACTTTTGCCATGAAGTGAATTTGCCCACCGTAATTTTGCTCTGGGGGCATGAAGCTAGTAGGTAGTTGTGTGTTGGTTCGAAATAGCCTGTCGAATTTATCGTTGAAAGTCATTTGGTGAAAAACACATAACGCAAATGGTTCGATGCCATGTTACTGACTAAGTAGGAGGTCTCGTTTAGACTTACATGAGCTCCCACGATTGACTCTAGTCTAGCTCCCATATTCCACATCAGGTTTCGTCAAATTCTAAAAGGTTTTCACAAACCAAATACGCTCATTGAAGGCCCTTCTAGGGTGTCTTTCTCCTTGACTAGGCCATAGGAAATCTAGACATAATCATGGCACTTCTCAGGCGATAAGAGCGGCCTTGAATCCCTCCATAACGTCTACCGAACTCGGGACTATCCCAATAATTCGTCACTCGAGCGCTCCGGTACTTTACCGAACTATCAATCTTCATTTCCCATCTATACCCACTACACAGCGGCATCTGATTCAAACAATCCTTACCCCAACAACAAATCGGCTTCGACAAGGTAATCATCAGCTTGTTCAAGGTTTCTCCTCTCTGTGTTGTAAAAGACCTTGTGATGACTTTCCCTATATACACAACTAACGTGAGAGGTAGATTTGGCTCTCCCTATATCACATAGAAGGAGCATATAAAGAGGAGCTAAAAGTCAACTGGGAATCTCTATATTGCTACCTTCCTTTCTACCGAACGGCTACAGGCCGTACACGAGGCAAAGAGCTCCCCCAATGGAAACAACAACTCCGTCCAATGACGAAGATTTGTAAGCAACCGGCGGCGCTTTGGCGGAGTGGTTAACGCGATGGCCTGCTAAGCCATTTCCCTCGGGAGCGCAAGTTCGAATCTTGCAGGCGTCGGTTCTCTCTCTTTTGTCTTCCTCTCTATTCATTTTTCTCATTTTTGCCCTTTACGTGATTCAAAGTTTGCCATACATCGGTTAATATAAGCACGGAGAGCGCGTCCCCCCTACGTTGTTAGCCTAAGGAGGGTGGTGCTAAGCCTGAGAATCTTTTTTACCCCAGCCTTACTCGGCCATTAAGACCTAGATTCAATAAGAACTTGTGCTTGTCTACTCCTATTCTAGTCCGGATTATAATTCGCGTCTTGTCATCACAACCATGCAAGTAATGTCCTGCTTGATAGGTATGGTTATGGGTGAATTCATTGTCCCTTAGTACGACGTAGGCTCGGCCAAATTCGGACCCAAGTGAGGCAGGCGCATATCTCACAGGGGGAAAAGCTGTGGATTCCTCGTAGTGGTCACAGATCAAGTATCGAGCTTTGCAAGGATAGCTAAGTTTCAGCACCTTGACCGGTATAATGAAATCAAGGGCTTGGTGCTTCTCAATTATCCGGACAGCAATGTCTCTATGAATAACTTCTCGGGGATGGCCTTATTTCTCCCGAGTCCAGCTTTATCAGGAGTGTTAAATCTACACATACAGTTGGAGTCGCTGCCGTCCCCATGGTTGAACAAGGCAAGTTGCAAAGAGATACTTCATTATAGGTCCAGTAGTCATTTCTCTACCGGTAATAATTGGAGCCAAGCCGTCCAGAACACCACCATTGTTACTTTCAGCTAGGTGCTAAGTGCTTCGAAGATCAAAGCCTCCAATTTGCTAAGTGCATGCTCATCAGAAAAGCTCTTAGGCGAGCGAATGGGTCTTGGTGCAGACGAGCTTTTGAATCGTCCCCCCTTGTGAACCGTTGTCGGGTAAGAAACAAACCCGCGAAATCAACACACTTGTTATTGGTGATGTAATGTTCACACGACAATAACTTACGGTCCAGGTGACAGTTGTCGATACGTTGGACATGTCTAAGAAATCTAGTATCCTTCTCGTCCATTTTACCAGCCATATGAGAACTCGAGGACAAATATTTATAAGTACATCCTGTTAAGTGAATCTGTCTCTTTCTGTTGTGCCTAGTTGAACGTAGGTCTCAGATTCACCAAATAGACACATCATAGTGAGGCCATTAGCTGCCAAGGTGTAGGTAGTGTATCGAGTATATTGGCAGTGCATCAACGCCCGACAGGCATCTCTCACTTTGAATCCAGTCCCATGACTAAAATCTCACTATAGGATTAAGTGGCAGGATGAAAAGTGAGCCATGTAGCTACCTCTGAAAACTAATTCACGGTAGGTTCAGGACATGTATACTTGTCCTCTTTTGCGTAGAATCTAGGACAATTAGTACGTACCAGCGCTAGATCGACAAGACATTTGAGAGCATTATGTGATGAAACTATGAGTGAGTACCGCGTTCTGGTTTGAGATTCAGCTGTCGGTGGTATGCTTAGGAGGGACGCAATGCAATAAAGGTTATATTATCACATTAGTTCTTCATGAAATTTCTCGAGCCCGCTTCTGGAACTAGCCCAGCGTCAGGGGTTAATATTCGTGGAGGAAGAAGGGTGGATTAAGAACTATATTGATCAAGCGGTGTGGTTTCGTATGTGTGTTTGAAGACAGTTTTTGAGTTGTTGTAGAGAGTCTCTGTTGCCGAGTATGATCTAGAATTTTTTGAAAATCTCACGATCCTCAAAGCGTGATCACTTCTCGACCCCAATAAATTTAGACTAATTATATCACTCTCTTTTCTCCCGATGTCTAAGGCATAATAGATAGAGAGTAGGTAGTTTGATATAGCGAAAACTAAAGTTCATTCTTCAGCCTGTAGCGTTAGGTTGAACAACCTCTAAATTAATACTAGAAAAATGCTGATAAGACAATTTTTACTTTCTAGTGGCTTCGCTGAACAGGTGTAGGTATATCAATGTCCGAGATTTTAGCAATTCATTAAGCTGAGCAAGAAGGTGAAGATCGTCTTCCACATCTACTAGACCAAGTCTTTGGAGGGGTAGTCAGTCTCGAGGGTATTATAATTATCTGCCCCGGAAATAAGTAACTGTCGGCGCTTTGGCGGAGTGGTTAACGCGATGGCCTGCTAAGCCATTTCCTTCGGGAGCGCAGGTTCGAATCCTGCAGGCGTCGAATCTTTTGCTCTTTTGCACCTTGCCCTGTCCCTCTCACTTTTTACTTTCTCATGTTTTATTTATTATTCTTACGACAAGCATCTTAAGCTAGTTTTTCATACGAGTATAGCCACTGTACTTATATTACGTCCTTGGTGGCTATTTAGAGGTGCTAGCTAAGTCCTACCCTATACTAGGTAAAATGATTGTTTAAAACTTTTTATTTAGTCCTCCATTGAGAAAGCGCGGTCATAAAAAGAGTCATGTTTTCATAAACGATATTTAGTCTGTCTTACCAGGTATTTAGTATATTGCGCAATTGAATGGAAATGCTAATGGTTCAGCGACCAGGGCTACTTGAGATGTTGAGCAAGAGAAGATTTTCATGTCGTGGTGCACTGTCGCAAAATTTAGAGGTTCATTTCAATTGAGCGAATGTCTAGTCAGTCCACACAATGCACTTATTTCTTGTCCGTACTCTACTTTCATATCTAGCGACATGGTTGATCGTTCTTGATCGCTCTAGCATTTACAACATCTACTTCAATAAAGAAAACATGGCGCTTTCGCTTGGCTGTACTGATTTCTCTGCTGCTAATTACGTGCTTGTTGTCCAGTCTAAATATGGTTAGCCGTAACTACCTAGGTAAGTTAGATTACCACCTTTCCTTTTTCATCAAGCTACCAGGCGACAAGGATTCGCGGAGCTGGTCCCTTACGATGTCGCGTGTACTGCTGTAGAACATGACACGTATCAGAAACAAACAAAGAGCAAAAAAGAATCGACGCCTGCAGGATTCGAACCTGCGCTCCCGAAGGAAATGGCTTAGCAGGCCATCGCGTTAACCACTCCGCCAAAGCGCCGATGGATGTCCGGCGACCTCTTGGACGATGATATGAAGATCCGAAAGGTAGCAGAGTTGAAGCTGTTGACAGGTGACGCTCGCCTTGATCTTGGAGATCGTGCACGAATGATGCGGCCGGATGGCGAATCAGCACATAAAACTGTCGCCCTAGTGAATAAGGCTGATGCGTAGAGGCATCTTTCTGGACTCCCGTTTAAATGAGAAGGACAGCTCGGTCATTGTTGACCGAAAAACTTCGCTTTGGCCCGCGAGGCACGGTTCATGCAGTTGCTGATGGGATTTGGCTCGTTTCACCGTTTTGGATTGAGGGGCCACAGCGCCTACAGGATACAGTTAGGCTAACGGCCATGACCCCTGTCGCTCAGCCACAGAATCCCAGACCATCCTCTGCCTGATGACATTTGATGTCGGGTCTGTCTGGTGACTCACATTTCCAAGTATTGGGCTCATGTGCTTTGCTGTCATGAAGTGATGATTTAAAAATTTCTGTTGTTCTTCTCTACATCTTGACCTTTATCACAACTCCTCATTGGTTTTTTCCATCGATCACAGATATCTAATCATTATCTCTTCAAAGACCAAGGCTTGAATAAGTCTACCACCTACTTTGGCTTTGCGATATAGGATCCTTCTTACGAATGTATCGGAGCGTCAACTTTCCATATGCGGTTCCTCGTGAACCAGGGTACCGCGAACCCCTGCTCCCCTTTGTCTCGGAAAAGCTTAAAGTTGGAAGTCCGAATCGTTCCTGGGGCGATTTCGAACACCCAAAGCTCCGGCAGTGTCCGATACCTGTTGATGATATCGAACTAGGAGCAGTAACACACCCAGGTTTTGATGCTGCCACGGTGAGAGGTCGCATCAAGTCGACCAGGAAACATGTCTTCATCACGATTGTAAACACGAGGTCCTGTCCCTGACAGTGATATACATACTTACGTCCAGTCTATTTAGTTCCCATTCAACACAGACTGTCTAGAATCTGACTATATTAAAGAAAGTGGGAACCTGGAAAGCATCTTGGGCTATAGGAGGATGAAACAGGAATTTCTGAACTGCGCCTTAATGGATATGATCAACGACGCTTTCACGACTGTAGCCTCAAAAAAGGAAGAAATCGTTCTGAACCCCGACCCAAGTACAGGTATTGAGGCCCTGGCGAATTTGCAGGCTCTATCAACAACTGAACCGGGTGGCACTCCTCCCAGGCCCGATACTGAATATCTCAAGCCTTACACATTCAAAGAACCATTCCGCGACTGTATTGGATGGATAAAACTAAAAGGAGAAGCCCTGAATTGGCTGTATCATGAAAAGTGGATGAAGAACGACGAGTATGTGGCACATGACCAGCTCAAGTACGTATGGGAACCGCTTCCGTTTCTCGACATTGGAAAATCGTACTATGCTATTGTTTACGATTACGATAGCAACAGGCAACGGATGTTTGATCGACTGAGACCAGAGGATATTTTGGACAGAGTCAGACACTATCACGCCTTCGGCTTCATTCTAGAGCACTACGTTCCTACTCACTGGCGCGAACGGCTACTCGATACCAAGAACATCGTCCCACCCTTGGGGGTCGAAGAAGATGGGTGGTGGAAGCTAGAAGTATTCCCTGGTAATCTTGAAAAGATTAGGCAATTGATCTGAGATGATCTTGAGCAGAACCAGGCTGCTGAAGATGAAGAAGCAGTAGCTGAAGGCCCTGGCGGATATTCCTTGCCAAGGCGAGCGAAGAAAAAGGTCAATGTGAAAGGAAAGGGGAAAGGAAGCAAGAAGGGAAGAGGGATAGCCGAATAGTATTAGAACCGACTGCTGCATTTGGTGGCGACGGGTAGTGCTATTTGATCAGCAAGATCCAAGGTGGAAACAAAAACTTTGGGAAATATTTCTTATAACTACTAAGCTGCGAGTATGAATCGCAATGAGTGTTCGATAAAATTGGTTGTCTCTCACATCTACCTACATCCCATACTATGAAAATGAACAAGGGTAACATAGCGGTTGAAATGGGATGAACCCAACAATTTATTTCAGCTTACGAGACTCCGTCGAATAGAGAGGAAACTATCACTGGTCTTTGGCTAGAGACAGACAGATATTTTGGCTAGTTTGCCCCAGTCCACAGAGCAGGCCCGGGAATGGTATAGCTCGAGAATGTCCTGTAGAGATCGAACAGGATCCCTGGATCGGTCCTGCTATAGAGGGCAGTGCCCTTTGTTCCCGAGGGTGCTGATACAGTTCCGCTGCCACCGACTACGAGGTTAAGACACTGCGGGTAGGCCTGCGCGCCATTGTCGTTGCCGGCGCTGTGGAGTCCGATGATCTCATGGCGAAGGATATAGTTGCCCGCCTTGAGCTTTGAGGGAATCTTGACGGTGCTGCTGAAATTTCCGGTGGCGATGAGCGTGTCGGTTACCCAGGTTCCTGGGTTAGAGCCCGAGATCCAAGCAGCCTCTGAAATTTTAGACCAGCCCAGGTTGCCTGCGGTCGCCGAGGCAAAACCTTCACCGGGAGTTAGCAAGCTGCTAGCTCTTACATGACAGCTGTAGAACGGTGAATGGGAAATACAGCAACATACTCGAAACAGGTGCAATGTAGTTTATAATTGGACCTTTATGGCTATCGGGCCAGGTGTTCCAGTACAGCGTGAGCGTGTCACCAGCGTTGGCGGTGACATATTGGGTGTTTGTAACACCGCTCTTATGGCAGTCGATATTTGAGGTCTGGAATGAAGCCGGGTCGACGAAGCCGTTGTCTTGGTTGAGAGCTTTCCAGCCTGCCGTAGCCGCAGGGTTGGAAATGTAGTACCAGTTTGGGTTCTGCCCGTCTGTCCAACCGGCGCCGTTGACTCGGGCACCAGTCAACCACCCGTGGCCCTCAGCAAGGCTAAAAAGCGCCGCAGATGCAGCGCCGAGAATGAATGAAGAGTGCATTTTCACTATTTTTCGAGATACTTTTCTCTCTAGAAGCGGCTGGCTATGAAGCGTCAATCCCGTTGAGGTCGATTTGCTCAAGAGATAGCCGAGAAGAAAAGGCTCTATATATCATCATTAGTCGTGCTCCCTTTACAACGCATTTTACCCCAAAGAGGGCAGAAACACGGAGCTTTGTGACATTCAACCAAGTTCAGTTAGTCTCGTTGATATATTGAGCCGTTGGTCTGATCATGCGGGCTCAATGGGCTGTCACACACGACGAATATTTCCTAGGATTGGTGGTCTTCAAGACTACTTTATCCGGAGGCACGAATCCTAGACATTCCACGTACATGTCAATTGCGAATTGTCAAAAGACCGGTTGTAGTGGTGGCGATGTTGCTTCCGCACTGCCTATTGGGGAAAGTATCTCGTGGCAAGTTCATGCTAACAATAGAAATCAAAGCCGGATAAAGCCGCGTAATCAAGGCATCTGAGTTCTAAAAGATCAATCGTTGAATAATCCAAGGGGTAGACGCCACGTATATTCGCTCCTATTGGCTGAACATGCTGTTCAAGCTCACCACTGGGGTGTCGATGAGAGAGGATTACGACTGATTGCGCGATTAGTTGTCATACAAATCGGCCTGCACGGCATCCCCATTCTTCGATTTAGCCTATCTCATCCGTCGTCTTCGTTGCATGGACGGTTCTATCCTGGTCGGAATTGATTGCATGTAGACCTCCTTGATGACCAGGTTGGCTATTACAAAGCTTCAGTTTCCGCAACATGGCTTCGGAAAGTGCGGCAATAGAAACACAGGAAATTGAATTATGGCACCTAGATCATGTATCAGTCAATCATCCGTTTCCCAAGGAGTCTCTAGGGCTACCAGACGGTAGGTCGTAGGTTTTGAGATCTTGACGATCACTATCAGAGCATTACATCAAGGATCTTCTTGTGATACGTTGCTCTGTGCATAAACCTGACTGAAGTATGTTCAATCTCTACGTTTTATGGAACACGATCTCGCTTTAGGGGAGTCTGGCCTTCTGAGAGGGCTCGACATGTAGTACGCGTTCAAGGAATGGTTACGTTGATTGCATCTCGACCGGTAGCCGGGTTGAGAATGGATCTCACTGATCATCTCGGCCGAGAGTCGTAACCAGTAACCACCATTAGTTGGATACTGCGCTGAGTAATATGATTGATTAGAAGGTGAGTTGGTAAATGCTGGTCATTGGGTCAATAAGGGGGTATCTATTAAGGCCGATGGGTAACATATGTCTGGCAGGTATTTCCACCAGAGGTTCGGAAAATTCGTAACATTAGGTAATAGTATTGAAGAGGGATAGATTATGTTTTGTTATGTACAAATTATCGCAGTGTCGGAAAATTTAATGGAACAGTAAAATGCAGTGTTCCTTTGTGAGAGCGAGCTTGGAGAAAAGGTCGCTTTAACTTTAATCTAGCTTAATAATCACCATCTGGCTTTGCCAAAAGCAATATTTATCGAAATAATCCGGTGAAGTGTCATGAATTGCTGTGACAGCCGTTGTTGCTCTTCCCTCTGAACTGATGTTCTCACCCATGTAAGTGCGGCTCAGACACTGGTCGAAACAGCACCAGGTGATCCCAATGGCTAAACTAAGAGATCAATATGAGTCTCCGGCTGACGTTCCATCCTCCTTTAATCACTGGATACATCGACCTGGCGCGAGAAATTAGAAGGAGGAGAATGCTGCACCAGAAGCCCTCATCTGAGCATTGGTCAACAGCGAGCGGGATCCTCCACGTCATGGGCAAGACCTCCCAACAAGAAGGTCCCCAAGAACACTCCGGCCAGTACTGACAGAAAATAGCCAGTATTCATAGTCATCACTGCTATCATACTAGAGGGGGTCAGAATTGATTGATGATGAAACCATGAAAGGCTTCCCAGACGTGCTCGACTTACAGAAGGTATCCAATGCCAGCTATTACCAGCTCATAGCACGCTCGCCCAGTTGCGGCGGATGCTCTCCACCCCGTCCACCGTCGTCTCAATTCTGATCTGAAGGTAATCCAGCCATATTGCGAAGGGTGTCTCGGGAGCCCAGATTTGTCGGCGTCTTCTCCATGACTGTGGGCGCCAATTGCGGACTGAGAGCCGCGCCATACTGACGCTTCCAGGACCGGTCGGAATGCAATCAAGACTCTGAAAATAAGAGCGAGGAAAATGAGAAATATGCAAGTGCCAGCATACTGCCCAGTAGTGGTTGGCGCCCAGGCACTGGAGAACAGCGGCGTTTTGATGGAGTCAAAAAACGTCATTGTCATATCAGCCATGGACATCATCATGCTCTCGTCACTGTCACCCATGCTCATGGATGAGGTCGAAGTTGCAGCTGGCATGTCCATGCTCATTGACATGCCAGCCGCGGTTGTCGTGGCCATGTTCATCATGATTGCTACTCTCCAACTAGCAGAGAGTTGGAAAGAACAGCAAGGACTGAATTTGAACCGGAAGAAATAGAGTGATGCGAGAATAAAACATCAGATCAGCTTTACTCCTTCCACTAGCTTCAGAGTTAGTGTTAATTGAGCAATTTCAATCAAGGGTTGCGCCAGCTGGAGCGAGAATATGAGAAAGATATTCTCGGAACAAGCCCACGAAACAAGGAGTCTATCAGTGAATCTTGAATAGGTATTCGATTTGATGTAACGCGGATTCATTAGGACACAGTGAGCGGGTTTGAGCACGTTTTCTAGTCTCACGATGGGGCCACAACTCCAAGTACTTACTCAATAGGGCAATCTAAACCCTGCCGATCAGCAAAATCTCACTAACTACGGGTAAACGGCAACGTCTCTTACGTTTGCCGGAGACGCAACGGCACCTGGAAACAAGGGTTGGACGGAGACAGGGCGAGTTGGATGGATAAATTTTATCTGGGACCACGGGAATGCATCAATGGCAGGGCCTGAATTATTAATGTCACCAGCGCTCATCACATGGCTGGCTGCCTTTCCTTCCTCCCAAACTTACCCCTTCTTGTTCTATTTCATATAGAGTTACTCCTGCCGGACCCAAAACGCTGCTTCAAGTAAGGCAGACAGCCTCGAGCGCTTTGATCAGCAGCTCTCGACATTGGGGAATAAGCCGAGGGATAACACATCAAATTGATCCGCAACCATGCCGATGCTACCATGGCTTACGGAACCGATCATGTTCCACGGGGACCGTGATCGTGGTGAGTGCATGATGACCGAAGAACAATGTGCGTGGAAATGGCGTTGGTGGACAGATTGGTATTCCGCAGACCTCGTGTTTTCGCTGCCAACCGTTGCATTCTTCATGGTTGCCATCGGCGTCTTCATAATTGCCTACGTCTTATCAGCTATCCTCCCCGCAAGCTGGAAAAGAAGCCGGGGCTGGCGACGGCTCCTTTCAGGCACACGGTTTCTTTCATACACTAATTTTCACGTCCGAGGATGGAGCACGCCATCCATTGGAATCTGCTTGCTTGGCGCGGTGGGACTCGTTTACTTCTTGGGTAAGATCTATGCCTATTCTCGGCAGCTTCTCATCGCGTATTGACAATGTCATAGCAATGACTCTGGGACCGCAGCCGTACTACTGGCCGAACACGAAAGAACTTAGCTATGGCAATTCGCCTCCCATCGCCACACGATCCGGATATATGGCACTGGCATGCATGCCGTTTCTATAGTACGCACGTGTCAGTATTTTGGGAATTCATCATAGGCTAACCTCAACTTCAGTGTTTTGGGAACCAAGGCCAACTTCATCACGTTGGTGACAGGCATATCGCACGAAAAGCTCAATGTCTTCCACAACTGGGTTGCATGGGCCATGTTTGTCTTGGCCCTTGTCCACA